ATATATATATTTGCAAAGAGATGCCAAATGACACACCGGGGAGTTGTGCATTTGTGAACTGAGGTTCGCATTACGCTGCATTAAGCCAAAAAGGCTGACCGAAAGGCTGTTAGCCAACAACTTTCTAACCACATTTCGGACATGGCGCAAAGTTACACACACAAAAATCGGTGTGTGTATGTGTGTGTGTGTGTGTGCGGCATGGTGCCTGCTGACAGCTGTTCGTGTTTTCTGCCAATGGAGAGCTTCGCATTAGCGCCATTTTCCACTCTGCGGTCATAATTCACTGAAATTAATTGTCGCATTCAAGTATTGTGCGCCTTGAACAAAAACCGCACAAGAACATGCCAATCGGGGGTCCACGGCTGCCTCATACTCTGTTCACAGCTGCAAGGGCGCTAAGGCGAGTTCAAGCTGAAAATTTCGAATTATGACAAAAAACATTTTGCTTAATTATTTTCTGAAAACAGATTCAGATTCTGAATCATATCTAATGATCTATATATATTTCTCATATCTAATTATCTATATTTTACTTTTACACGCTAGCGTAAAATAGACCCTTTGTCGTAAAAGAGATTTTTGTTTAATTTTCGGACTGTTTAATATACATTAAAAAAACGAAATTCATCTATACTATGTATGAATTATTTTATTTAAATCTGTGTAGTAATACAATGAAGTGTATTGCTTAGTTTTTTTTAATAATCTTTTAATTTTAAGTTATTTATTATTATTATTATTTGATTAATTCTAATGTTTTTTTTTTTTTTTTTTTTTTTTTTTTTTTTTTGATTTCACTTAACTAAATGCTTAACTAAATAAACTTAAAATATGCCCTTAAGCGTGTTATAAGCAGAGTATATAAAATAGAATTACTGATCCACTTTATAGTCGGATATCCTAAAAATCCCACAATTAATAACGTAGCCAGTTTAGGTATTTTTGTTGGTTTGAAAAACTAATTTATAGTACGACAGTTGATGTTTCCACTTTTATCTTAAAAACAAATTTAAAGAAAAGTTCCATTTAATTCGAGCTTATCCCTCACTCGGTCTATCTACCTCCTTCCTTCCTTCCCTCCTTCCCATTCTCTCTTTCACACACTCTCTCTCTCTCTCTCTCTCTCTCTCTCTCTCTCTCTCTCTCTCTCTCTCTCTCTCTCTCTTTTCTTACTCTTGACAGTTGATGCTGAAATGAATGCCAACATGTCATCGAGTATTTCCAGTGCGCTGAACATGCTCTCCATATCTGAGTCTTGTTTGCCAAATGAGTTTGGCATAGGTTGCCCGCTTAGGCTCGGTGCCAAGTGCCTTTTGTTATTCCCAACTAACTTTAACTTAGCACAAAACTTAAAACAATGCGCAACAAAGTTGGCACTTGGCACTTTGTTTCTGTAATTACTTTGCCTGCAGTTTATGATAGTTTTCGCTTTGAGATTCTTTTCCATAATGAATTCAAATTATGGTGGACTTTGATAAAAAGTCTATTTATATTTACTAAATGGCGTCTATCAAATTGATACAAGCTTGAAAAGTTGTCTTATTAATTAATTAATCTGAAGTAGAAAAGGTAAAGAGATTAAAAAACAAAATAATTGGCTTCTTTTCATTCTAGTCGAGTGCTCAACTCTGCAAACAAACGGAACACTTTAAGCCAGAATACCAAGTAAGCAAATATTGCTTTTGACCTGCTCGTTGCTATCGCTTTGCGCTTCAAAATGAATCGAATATATTGAGGCAGCAGAGGGAAAATCCAGACGCTCGCACGTTTCACACAAATAAATCAGGGGGAAATCTTCCAAATTGTTGCCCATTGTTGCGTACTTGAGACTCACCTTATGCTATCCCGTTTACCAATACAAAGATATTTTCCATTCACCTAACTTCACACTCAAGTCCTCTCGCGCTATATCAAAATTCTCTGTCTGTGTGCATGTGTGTGTGTGTGTGTGTGTGTGTGTATGCAGTTAAAGTGGGAGGACTTCTAGAGGTCGGTTCAATTGGCTGTCAGGTTGAAGCTCCATCGACTTTGACTTTCACTTTATTTTGCTTGCGTTTCTGTACCTAAATCTCCCTGTCGACAGCATGTAGTAGACGTTTTCCTACTTGCCTGCGCGCGGGGAGAAACCCAGAAAAGGGTTCCGAGCTTCAGAAATGCGCTGACAGCGCATTTATTCCATCAACATACGCAGCGAGTGTGCTGTCAATGAAATGCACCATTTCCAATATACTGCACCCAGGTTTTTAGAAAAGAAAGTACAATTTCGTAATAAAATGTCACAGCTTCGAGACTTGTTTCAGTTGAAAGCAATTCGAGCACAGTCAACTGCAGTCAGTTGCAGTAAATAGTTTTAATTTTATTTAAGCGTTTCTATTTTATAAAAGGTATTCAGTCTGGAAGTTGAAAGGCTTTATTTATTAAACAATATCTTGAATTCATAGAAATTTCGAATTATGGAATTATGGAATTATGGAATTATGGAAAGAGACAATATACTCCTTTCCCCATAAAATAATCTCTGGAGTGATTATCAAGCAGTTAAAAATATTCCTGTCCTATCCAGTCCTATCCTGTCGTGTCCTAGACTCTCCTAAATTGGCATTTTAGTTTCCTGTAGATTTTCTATAATTATAATTTTTTACAATTTGGATATCGACTCAAAATATGACTAAATTGAAGCTGAATGAAACGAGTTTGTTGAAATTTAACTAATGAATATTTAATACAGTATTAAATTCAGCTTCAATTGAGTCATATTTTGAGTATAATACTTACATAGATCATTGAAATCACATTCGTTATTAAATAAAATATTTGATACCAAATATTTACTCGATGCATACCCACAATTATGATGAAATTTTGGATGAATTATTAGCTGCTAGCTGAGTGTGGGATTTGCACCTTTTTAATTATGTTTCAAATAGAAATTTGTTTTCATGACATATAAATGGTGATTATTGCCAAGTGTTTAATCATATTAATCATAATTTTATTTTTCACTCCAACGTTTTTTTTTTTATAATTTCGATTTGAAATGAAAACTTATTTATTTACCACTTAATTCTTCATAAAAATTGTATTATTCAAAAGCGTCTTAAATTTAAGTCAAAAATGTTTGTACGTGTCGGATTGAATGGATTTATTTGTTACCGAAACACAAGATTAAAACCCATTTTATTTATACATCAAATTTTATGGCAGCATTTACTTCACCATATACCATTTTATTACGTATGCAAATAAATTTATAAAGCCAACTTTTCACTTCACATTTTCGAAATGCAGCAAACATCTTAATAATATAGATTTACTATAGAATGTAATACATGAGACACGCCAAGTCTTTCTGTGATAACCTGTATGCAAACAAATCCCCAAATGACGTCATAAATAAAATGCATTTGTGTGGAAAATTAGGTAGTAGCAAATGACGCTGCAACGAGACGCACACAAAACTCGCAACTCTACATATTTTTACACTTTCCACATATATCTACGCAAGTCTGCGTGCTATATAAAGAGCATAAATCGCACACAGTGCTCTGCGCCAGACACAAACAAATCGTCTTTGGAATTTATTCTTTTTTTTTCACTTTATATATCATGAGAATATCAGAGAATTATTGAGAGCCCTGCTTGCTTTTCCCTGGAAAAAAAGGTGTCAAGTACGTTGACGATATAAAATCTATATATTTATACTACTATGTATGTATATGTGTGTGTTATACCTATTCAAAACAAGCTTTAGTTGCTATTAATAGAGGTATGGAGGGAAGTGTTTTGAGTGGGTTTAAGTAACACCATCGCAAGGGTTTCGTGTTCCACTGCAAAAGCGATGCTAAACAGGGAGCCCTGCTCTGATTTAATAGTTTGTATCGAAAGCGTGTCCTATCTAATTTCCAATTACTGACACACTCAAGAGCCTTTCAGAAGTTTAATCAACGATAAGGAAAACATTAAAATCAAAGAACATTTTAAATTTATTGTTTTATATTTGCTACAACTTAATATTTATTTTACCGTAAACATTTTTATTTATATTTCAAATATATTGTTCAATTTGAATATTTTGGAAACCAATTTAATTTTATAAATATTTAAAGTTTTAATTTTAATAACGAGCTAACTAGCTAAACTCTTATATTTATAGCTAAACTCTTATATTTATTAGAGAGTAAATACCGGTTAACTTATCCGCGTATGCGCTCTAGTGAGCGAGAATGTGTGAGAGAACGCAATATAATTTTGAAATATGTTGAGCAGGATTCACGACAGATTTTTATAAACAAAAGCAGTACATGCAACAGTTAGATGTTCAGTATATTAGGGGCATTCGATATTTTAGAAATAAAGTAGATAATTATTTTACCAAATTTTACCAAACTCATTTCACAATTTAAATTAATAATAAGACAACATTTAAAAAAAAAATGATAATAATTAAATTTTTTTTTTAAATTATATTGTATGACGATTTGGCAGTGTGCTTTATTTATTAAGTTTTCTAAAGACAGTTAAACTTCCATTCTACTATAAAAACTAAGGATGAAAACTTTGCAGTCGAGCAAATGTGGTTTTGACATTCGATAAATCTTTTCTGAGGGAAATTTTTGTTAAATACGAAAAAGCGCCATCTATGTCTCATTTTTATTTAAAGTGAATTCACACTCCAAATAATAAAACATATGAAATGATTAAATTTAAAAATGAAATAAAACGTAATACTTAATATTTTATTGGAATATTTAAGAGTTTCTGCAATATTCTGTAATTTTTGAACAAATACTTAAACACTTTTCCCGATGGAAATTTCATTCATTCATTTATTTTCTATGTGACTTAAGCATATTACAATTCCAACCCCAATTCACTGATAGCCAATCAGAACGCCTCAAACTGTTGCCCATTCAAAATGGCTGCTTCAACTGCGCGTCGCAGATGCCGCACCCCATAAGGGTTGGCAGAAATCCAATAAGTCCAACTATGGAGAGCTGATTTCAGAGCAGTCAGCACAATCAGAATTTAATCCAATTCGGGCTTCCAAGCAGAACAGTTGAGACCCAAGGTCTACAGTCGATACAGAATACAGAATCCCTATATATATATGCAGCATCCGAGTAATCAACCTACCTATATGCCAGAGGTGCCCTTTCAGCCACTGTGGGGTCAGGAGGCGCCACCGCCGCCGCCGCCCATAGTTCCCTATCAAGATCTCATTGCAGGCTTCCCCTGCTCCGATTTATGTAAGTTACTCCATTGCTCAATCTTTAATTTAAGTATATTTATATTTATTTCTGTTTTACCATTTCTTCATAAATAGCACTCTGGCAAAGATCTCAGGTGACTCCACTCGTCAATCAGCGTCCAACAACCAATGGCCGCTCCCACGGCTCCACCTCCTCCAGTTTAAAGAAAACGCGCCGCCGCGTGGCTTCCATGAGTCAGAGACGGGCTGCGAATATTCGTGAACGCCGTCGCATGTTCAACCTGAACGAAGCCTTTGATAAGTTACGACCAAAGGTGCCCACCTTTGCCTATGAGAAACGACTCTCTCGCATTGAGACCCTGCGCCTGGCCATCACCTACATTGGCTTCATGGCGGAGTTGCTGAACGGCACACCCTCCAATAGCCACAAAACCCGCTCGGACATGTACGGCGGTATGAACGGACATCATCAGTCAGGAGATATGCCTCCAATTCCTCCGATGCATTCCCATCACTTGCATCCTTTGGCCTATCAGCATGACTTTGCCACGCCTTACAATCACAGCTAGACGTGGACTATCGTGCTGAGTGGAAGGAGTATATCAATATTGTAACGTGTTCTTTGTTGTCATGCATGTGTATAGACTCAAAATTAAATATATGTATATTTGTGATGTATAAATTGGGGTTGCTGTGTGTGAAGGACTCCACCCCACAATATGTATTTACTTTCGAACTGCTGACAAATAATTAAGTTGGAGCAATCTAAGCACAATCTTATCAGTGATAAGCTAAAGTTTCAGACGATTGAACTGCTAAATTGTTGTTAATTGAGAAACGCATAGATTAATTTGTAACAGTACTCAATGGAAAGTGAAACGACAATGTTCACACCGGAATTCGCCAGCGATCCGCCCGACTGGTTAGACTCGCCGCACTTGCAGCAAATTATAAAGAATGAATTTAAAACATTTCAGAAAATAGAAAGCGTTCGCCTGAGTACTATACCATATGGGCAGCGTGTGCAAATCGGAATTAGGTTAGCAGGTGAGCATGCACAGAGCTAAGTGCTCAATAATCAATACAAGATACGATAACACTTACGATAACACCATCGAATAGACAACTCAACTCGCTCTGTGAACTATCAGCTTAAAGCGCCGAAATTAAGGGATCTAAAGCTTCCACGCTTCCAGCTTGAGGCTCACATGCACGAGGTGGTGCTACCAGCTCTTGAGAGACTCTTTAACGATGTTCAGAAAAAAATAAGTTTCACACCTAGGAGCTACGTGAGTAAGAGCAGTCTGTATTTAGATTACCTTCCGGCCACGGGCTATTGCTTTGTCACCAAATTGAATGGTCTAGACCAATTGGCAATGGAGGTGATCCTATCAAAGTTAGCTGCTTATCATGCAGCTTCAGCGTGCTATTTACAATTGAAGCCAGATCAATTAAATGAGTTTTTTACAAGTAAAGAGCTAGATCAAGCCTTAAGAGCAAAAAGGAGCTGGATACAGCAGCAATTTCATGAGAGTCTTAGGGCTAACGACCTGAAGCATTATGAAGATAAGGTGGTACGTATTGGAAACATCTGCTGAGTGAATCGATTAGATAACAGTTGGTATATTCGCTAACAGAAATCCTATCAAAGGACTTTAGCTAGTCGCGTCGAAGCACCTGATTCGAAGAAATCCTTCACTGTCATTTTGAATGGCGCTTGTTGCTCGAACAACTTACTTGGCCAATTTGATGCGTTTGGACAGCTTCGGGATGTGGTTTTCAATGATTTTGGTAGTGCTAATATTGGACCTGCTGTACACGATCTGCTGCAACTGCTGCTAACAGCGCCAGCAGCAAAAGCTGAAAGATTCGATGGATTTTTAAGATTCTATGTAGACAAGCTAGCGGAAATTTTGAAATTGTTAAATTTTAAGGGAAAGATTCCTTCCTTAACGGACATACAACTGGATATACTTAACTATGGACATTGGGGTAAGCAATTTGATAATTGAACACATTTTCGAAGATGTCTTTTCAACAAAAATAACATTTTCAATAGCATTTGAGACTGTCACAGAAACTCTGCCCATTGTGCTGGGTGAATTGGAATGTGAAGAAAATGCGGAGATCTGCAAGTTACCAACATATTCGAAAGAAATCAAGACGCTGTTGCCCTGGCTGGAAAATCGCGGTTACTTTGAGGTTGCATAGCAAATTAAATTGATTACCAACTAGGACACATTACGTAAAAACCCGAACAGCAACAACCACCTGATAATCCACCTAAGAGCCACTCTTCCAACTACATATTTGAGTTCTGATTTGCGTGCGAACTGTTGCAGCTGCTGTATGTGGCACATGTTGATGCCACATTGAAGTCACATTAGATGAAAGACAGAGAGACCCAACAACGATTATACAATAGCAGAAAGCTGGACAGAATAAACAAAGCGTGAAATTATTGTTAATAAATTAATGTGTGAGGGCTGCAACACAAGGGCAACTTTTGGAACTACCCTCGTGTGGCGAAAACAAGTGTAAGAGTCAACTAGCGAGTTCGTGCACAGCCATAATACCCTGTGATAGCTCAGCTAGCAGACAGTTATGTGGTAAAGAAAATGTTATATTATTTTTAGCAACACAAGGACAACATATACATATATTAATATAATATATTATTATTATATATACTATATTAATATATTATAAGTATATAGTTGTATAATTATTATTCTATTACTTACATGTATTAATATTATCTACATATATAATAAATGGCAATATAATTTTTATCTTAATTTTAGCTATTCCCCGATTCTTTGTTCATTGCCCTATCTATACAGAGTATTTTCTAGTCTAACATGGTGTCATCTTTAAGATATCGATGGTATTCTGCCTAAATACCATGGAATTTTTGCGTTCAACGCCCATTTCTAACAGATTAACTCCCCCTTTTTGTGTCTTTTTCTGTATCGCCACTGAGCAAATTAATTTTGAGCGCATAAATACAGAGGGGTAAACAATCTGTTAGACATAACTGGAACCACCTGAGGGTTGTTTGACTGCAACTGTATCATATACGCTGCGACCCTAATTTGATCTTGTTTTTGTAGCATCGGTAGCTGGCAATATGTTTTGATGAATTCGTGACACTTCATGCCGCATTAGCATGGTCACCCCACTCCCTATCCCTGCCATGAGGGTTGCGGACTGACTTTGCCTTTATGAAGTGTGCTCACGTGTCTGTGATTAGCGTCTTATGTCAAAGTCATGTTATATTTAGAGTGAGCTCTTCAAATCCCACACACTTGACCACCTGCTGTGTGTGAGAAGCTCGAGCTAAACAAAATTTTTACTTTAAATTCCCAAATATTTAATCATATCATCTTTTCCATATGAGAGGATATTTATGCCACGCGGTGCTTAATTTATATTACCCATAGAAAATTAATATTTCCCATAGGAATCAGATTAATTATTGAACAAGTCTATGAACATTTTCTAACAAGAATTGGCGTAATCCGCACAAATCCAACCCTTGGATCCATTGTGCGCATGTCAAATTAATGTGACACAATAATTGAATTTTGTTAGCATTTTCAGCGAAATTTTCCCAAAAATCGAACCTTTCTAAGTATATTAGAGCATAAACCAATATATATTTGACGGCATGATAAATGAACCCAACAATTGTGCCATAAAGATTAATATATTTCAACCAAGTATTATCACAAAAAAAAAAAAAAAAAATTCTCCAGTAATAAAATAATTTTGCAATGTGGAATATGCCTTCAATTAAATAAGAGTTTAGGTCACTCTTATTTAATTGAAGGCATATTAAAATTAAGGCATATAAAATTGTTAAAAAATGTTCAAAATGAAAATAAAATGTCAAATAACTCTGCTTCTAGATTTTAAGCGAAATGAACAATAGGTGCAAGATAAGAAATACAGAAAGTACGTGTATTCTCTTAATTACCTATATCTAAGGCCAAAAGAAAACGAAAACTTTTGCAAATAAACGGGTTTCTTAGCCCTCCCCAACTGGAACTGGATTGCTTAATCATTTTTCTTGTAGATGGCCTATATTCATAAATCTTTCGTACCGAGGTAATATTATTAAAAGTGTATAGAAATTCTATATAAGACACGTAAATCTAGTATAATTTTGAGAATCTAGCTCTGATAAGGAATATATGTATATGTATATTTTATGGTGTCTGCCACCACTCCTTCTGCGCGTTATATACATTTAATGGGTTTTTCGTAATTTCCCATTTACAATGGATTCCGCGTATAAAATATATAAATATACATATATACTGCTAAAAAATTGGTACACTTAGCCAAAATTGATCAACTTTGTAGTACAAATATTAATAATAATATATTACAAATTGAATTACCTAAAGCATTTAATTATAATTAATTCGTCAATGGTTGGAGCTAGAGTTTGGTCACTCAAATTCTAGTTCTGGTATAATTTGCTATTCCTGTAAAAATTTAAAATTAATACCTTAAATCAATATAGGATATATAGCATAGGGTTATACATCTAAACTGGTATTTTATGGCGCCAAGTAATTTTGACACAATTGTAGGCAATGTGGGAATGGAATTAATATCCCTACGCAGAGTTCGTGATATCTCCTAGTCGGGTACATCGGTCAAGGATCACAGTTTTTTAATTGTCATTAAGGAGTTTGTTGAATAGTAGGCTCCAAAACCAAACGAAAACAATGTCAGTAAAGTAATAAATATATGTATGCAAAAAGTACAGACACAGAAAGAAATATGGTTTACAATATAAACTAAAGTGAGGCTAATTAGATAAATATGGCTGTCAATTGCCAGAGTAAAGAGCAGTCCTGGAAGCAGATCTGGTTGTAAGTATTTATTTTGAAAATCAATCCAATACATAATATATTTCTTGCAATTAAAATTATTTATGAAAAAACAAAAATATAAATAATATATAATAAAGTCCGGTTTTCACGCTGTCTTAAACATAAATGTTCAAATGCGTTTCTACACTTGCAGCTGCACAAATTTTTGTATTTAAGTTCATGTGGAATCATGAAATCATGGAATCATGGAATCATAGATCACAAGAGTTCGAAGTAAGCACAGAATAAGAAAAGAAATCTTTGTTTTTCGATATCCAGCTCTGTGGGAACACACAATTAAACGAAATCGAACGATGTGAACATTGCAATCTGCCACTGACATTACGATAACATCTAAGATGGGCCCATTTCAGGAAATATGTTTGAAAATAGGGGAAAGTCAAAATTTCAATATTACAACATGTAATTATTACTAGATGTAAAACAAAACTTATAAACATAAAGAGAAACTGATAAATACCAGAGTTCCATTTCTTTTCGAGACCAATACTAGCATAGGAAGGATTCGAATATTTACTACTAATTTAAACATTTATTTACAGTTAATGGAGAAGGTTTTCAACGAGTTTTTTAATTTTATATATTTAGTTTTATAAAACAAACTTTTACTTTGGGCTTATTTTTATACCCTGAACCCATTTTCAATGGGAAATCAGGGTATAATGGTTTTGTTGAAATGTATGTAACAGGGAGAAGGAGGCGTGGCAGACCCCACAAAGTATATATATTCTTGATCAGGGTGACGAGCTGAGTTGATTTGGCCCTGTCCGTCTGTCTGTCCGTCTGTCCGTCTGTCCGTCTGTCCGTATGTATGAACGCGTCGATTTCAGAAGATATAAGTGCTAGAGACTTCAAATTTTTTTTAAAATGTCCGTAATTACAGCGCGCATATCAAGTTTATCATTAAAAATCGATAACTCATCTCGATCTTTTTTTATCGATAAAAAACCTTATCGAAACCCAGTTATAAAATTATATCTTCTACACCTTTATAGCTAGAGTCTCCAAATTTGTAATGTATGCTTATATGCAATTTATACAATTTCGGTTTTTGTTAAAATTTACCCCCCACCTCTAAATTCACCCCCTCACCCTCACTTTTGTAAAAAGCGTATTTCAAATACTAGAGACTTGTGCTTTGGCAATTATATGCATATTCATGTTATAATCATAATCTAAAAGTTTCATGAAGATCGTACGTCCATAAAAAAAGTTATTAAACAATTAAGTTCTCATAGTAAGCGCACACTGCAGCCCATGCGTGTTTATGCGTGGTTGCTTGTATGTGTATGTGTGTGTGTATGTGTGTGTGTGTATGCGTTTGTGTCTGTATGCGTGTGTGTGTGTATGTGTGTCTGTATGCGTGTGTGTGTATGTATACCTGTGTGTGCGTACGTGCGTGTGTGTGTGTGTGTGTGTTTCTTGTGTAAGCTGAAAGTCGCGAAAAAGTATTGAAATATCTATTGCTCCAAGGCACTATGGGGAATTTTACCGTTTTTCGGGTATTTAGTCATTTTTGCGAAGTATGAAAATTTATAATTTTTTTATGTTAACATCTTAATAAAACTCCAAACCCTTGCAAGGGTTCAGGGGATCTCGTAGTCGAGCAGTCTCGACTAGAGCTTTCTTACTTGTTAACTATGAGCTTTAAAACCTCATAATGACTAATGTTGGCAATGATATTTAAAAAGAAAAAAGAGCTAAATCCTACCGAGTAATTTATCAATTCATACCACCCATCGGCCTCTATAGTGTCAAAGTGATTACAACATTTTACAGCCTGTGCAGATTTTCGTAAAGTCAACAACCAACTGGACAAACTTCTGGGGCTGATCCACGTGAACTTTGTGATGAGCATTCAAATACTCAACATGCAGTTTGGGAAAGAATTTCTTCATTATTTTGACATTCGTTGGCGTTACAAATTTAGTCTTTCGGCCCGCAATTAGCAGTGTTTCACCCTGGTATGGCGGCAGTCCCTTTAAGGACTGCTCGTATCTGATCATTAATTGACTCCACCCGTCGAAGATGGCCTTCGCGTTAACACTCCAGGCGAAGCAGCCATTGTCATCCTTCTGCAAATTCGCAACAATCAACGTCAGATCAGTTTCGTTTTTAATCAGTTTCCTGAGCTCAGGCATTATGAATGTGCGACCCTCTTGCAGGGAAAGATCTTTTGGTATTTTGGGCAGCACATCCACCATCAATTTGAAGAGCCTGGCTGCATTGATGACTTCCGGAGGCAGCGGTCCTGGAGTTATGTCCACCACGATGATACGTTCCACGAGATCTGGTCTGGTCAGGGCCAGCGTCATCAGCGCCCGCCCGCCCATGCCATGACCCAAGGCAACAATCCGCTTCAACATTCTATCCTCTATCAAGGCTGCCACATCCGCAGCCATGTCGGCGGGCGTATGGCTCTCGCAATGAGGACTCTCGCCATGATTACGAGCATCCGCGACTATGAGCCAGCGCGAGCCCTGTTTCATCATGTGCCGAGCCGAGCGACGCCAATTGGATCCCGAGAGGTTCAGTCCATGTAACACCAATATAGGCGGGGAGTTCATTTGACTGTGAGGCATCTGATAGGTCGTTGAGTTCATTTTTACGGTATTGCAGGTGCGTTTGGAGTGAACCATTAGAATAGGCAGACGTAACATGCCAACGGATAATTTTGAAATCTGACTGATAGACTGAAGCAATATAAAAAGAAGATATGACTGAACGGTTCTCTTAATCTCTTCCTGATTACTTTTCATGTTACGCAATAGATGAACGTAATGCAAATGTTTAATTAATTTGCATTATTATAATTGAATTAAACTCGAAAATTTTAAATCCACTGGTGTGTATTTACATTAGAATATTCATTACTTGGACGTGGAATCTTTTTAATCTTGACCAGCTGTTTGTTAATAAATAGGACTTTAAGAAATTGAATTTGAATCATTTAAACGAGTCCTGAATTGAGAAATTATAAAAAAAAAAAAATTATAAGCTATAAATATGCATTTACGGTAACCAATCCAAACTAGTATACAAGATTTAGCGCCATCTATGTTTCATTATTAATTAAAGCGAATACACAAACCATCAACATATTGTGCCATAATTTATGAAATCGTATTGCAAAAATATATTTAGTGGAAGAAAAAAACAATAATTTATACAATCTCTTATTTATTATTTATTTTCTACATCAGCCTTATATCTGAAAGCTTGCATTACGAAAATATCTGCAAAATATGAACATTTCTAATGTTTTTACAAATATTTTGGTACTTTTCTAAATGAAAATAGCTAGTTATATTTTTAGATTTTATCTATTGTACTTTTCAATAATATAACATATCTTTTCCGTATATCCTATAAAGTCGCTTAGCACAGTTCTCAACCCCAATTCACTGATAGCCAATCAGAACGCCTCAAACTGTTGCCCATTCAAAATGGCCGCTTCAACTGCGCGTCGCAGATGCCGCACCCCACAAGGGTTGGCAGAAATCCAGTAAGTCCAACTACGGTGAGCTGATTTCAGAGCAGTCAGCACAATCAGAATTTAATCCAATTCGGGCTTCCAAGCAGAACGAAGTTGAGACCCAAGGTCTACAGTCGATACAGAGTACAGAATCCCTATATATATATGCAGCATCCGAGTGACCAACCTACCTATATGCCAGAGGTGCCCTTTCAGCCACTGTGGGGTCAGGAGGCGCCACCGCCGCCGCCGCCCATAGTTCCCTATCAAGATCTCATTGCAGGCTTCCCCTGCTCCGATTTATGTAAGTTACTCCATTGCTCAATCTTTAATTTAAGTATATTTATATTTATTTCTGTTTTACCATTTCTTCACAAATAGCACTCTGGCAAAGATCTCAGGTGACTCCACTCGTCAATCAGCGTCCAACAACCAATGGCCGCTCGCACGGTTCCACCTCCTCCAGTTCGAAGAAAACACGACGCCGCGTAGCTTCCATGGCCCAGAGGCGGGCTGCGAATATTCGTGAACGCCGTCGCATGTTCAACCTAAACGAAGCCTTTGACAAGTTGCGACGGAAAGTGCCCACATTTGCCTACGAGAAACGGCTGTCACGCATTGAAACCCTGCGGCTGGCCATCACCTACATTGGCTTCATGGCGGAGTTGTTGAGCGGCACACCCTCTAATAGCCACAAAACCCGCTCGGACATGTACGGGGGTATGAATGGACATCATCATTCAGGGAGTGTGCCACCAGGTCCTCCAATGCATCCACATCATTTGCATCCGGCGGCCTATCAGCGTGACTTTGCCTCGCCTTACAATCACAGCTTGACGTAGGATGAAATCTAAAGACGAGTATAACAATATTATATAAAGTTCTCTGTTACCATGCCATGTGTATAGACTTAAGTTAATATATATAAATGTGATAGATGTGCAAATTTTGGATTGTGTTTGTGATTAAGTTCATTATTTATAGTGATATGAGTTAATATATATTTGTGAGCGAAATCGTAATTTATTTACCGAACAGCTATTTCTTTTCATTCGATTTATGTATGAAAGGTGTATATATTTTTATTATGAGCTTCACATTCTTCAAGCCATGAACAAATTCAAAACCCAAGAAATATTTTCTTTTCAATAGGCTACAAAACTTATTAAAATTCGGCTCAAATTTAAATTACTAATGAACTATGAATTCAGTGACAAGGGTCTTAAAGTGAAAGACAAAAATATTCCAAATATTCAAATACTCCCGACCAAAGTTTACTATTTGTTTCAAGCGTTTCCATAAATCCAACTCGACTCAACTAAATGGAGGATTAAAGGGAATGAATAAATAAGGCATTTTAGGTATGTAAAAAATATAAAGCAATCGCAAGTCAAAATCAAATCGACAGGTGAATATTTACTTCTCGATAATCTAACAATAAATCAAAAGAAATAAATCAAAACATTTCCTAACTAAATAAACATTCAAATGATTTTACCTAACTATGAAAACTGGTAACCTGAGAAAATATAAATTAATAATAAAACAAAAATAACAAAATTATTTACTTATTTATTTTTATTTTATTTTGCTGTATTTTCTTTTAACAATTGTTTTAACAATCATATAAAGCTTATGTTACAAATTTATTTTTAACAGAGGCTAACAGCTATGGCTTTTCAACAATGTTGTTTATAATTTTGGTAGTAAGAGACTTTTCTTAATAACAAATGTATATTACAAATAAAATTTGTTAGAATTTCAGCTATTTTATAATTAATATTAAAAGCTTCTTTTGAATAATTGTGTTAGAGCACATTTTCCCCATTTTGAGTATTGGCGTGAATACGAGTAATTTTTATTTAAAATTAATCTTCAATAAACAAGAAGCTTTTGTCCATTGTGCAGACTGATTTTAATTGTGATATCGATGGGTCGTTCAGATTATAGCAAATTAAATTGATTACTTGTACAACTTGTACGGATTACGTAAAAAATGAGTAGCCACAACCACCTGATAGTCCCCCTAAGAGCCGCTCTTTCAACTGCAAAATTATTTGAAGCCTAATGTGCGTGCGAACTGTTGCAGCTGCTGTATGTGGCACATGTTGATGCCACATTGAAGTCACATTAGATGGAAAACAGAGAGACCCAAAAACAATTAGACAATAAAAAATTGGACAACATAAACAAAGCGTAAAATTATTAATAATAAATTGATGCGATGCAATGGTAATTGTTATTACAACCCTCGTGTGGCAAAAACAAGTGTAAAAGTCAAGGGGCGAGATTATGCATAGTTATAATACCCTGTAAGTTGGTTGGTAGAAAATTCCACTATAATAATTATTATTATTATTATTATAGTAGGGCTACAACTAAACTTTGGCTTAAAAGCCATATTTACGAAATGCAATTTTTATAGATACTTCAGATATATCTTCCCATTTGTCAACTTTATATATAGGGTACATTCTAGTCTAATGTTATTATATATTAAAGATATGCTATGCAGCCTAAATACCATGGAATTTTTGCGTTCAACGCCCATTTCTAACAGATTAACTCCCCCTTTTTGTGTCTTTTTCTGCATCGCCGCAGAGCAAATTATTTTTGAGCGCATAAATTCAGAGGGGTAAACAATCTGTTAGACGTAACTGGAACCACCTGAGGGTTGTTTGACTGCAACTGTATCATATGCGCTGCGACCCTAATTTGATCTTGTTTTTGTAGCATCGGTAGCTGGCAAAATGTTTTGATGAATTCGTGACACTTCATGCCGCATTAGCATGGTCACCCCACTCCCTACCCTTGCAATGAGGGTTGCAGACTGAGTTTGTCTTTATGAAGTGTGCTCACGTGTCTGTGATTAGCGACTTATGTCAGAGTCATTTTATATTTAGAGTGAGCTCTTCAAATCCCACACACTTGACCACCTGTTGTGTGTGAGAATCTCGAGCTAAACCAATTTCATTTCAAATTCCTGTCCTTTGTCCTTTGCTTATATGAACTGAGATTCTTGCCACGCTTTGCTTAATACATATTAGTCATATACAATCTGTGAATCTATGAACAATTTATGAGATAGGCGTAATCCGCGCAAATCCTACCCTCAGCTCTATTGTGCGCATGTCAAATCTATGTGACAAATTAATTGAACTTTGTTACAATTTTCAGCGAAATTTGCACAAAAACGTCGAGACTTTCTGAGTATATTAGGGAAAAATCTAATATATATTTGACGGCATGATAAATGAGCCCAACAGATGCTTAGAAATTATCCGATAGAGATACATATATTCCGTAATAGAACTAAAATGATTTGCCTTTGATTGTATTGAGCTAAGCAATATAAAAAGTAGGGTTCACAAAGATCCAAGATCAATCAGATAATAACCAATAATGTTGGCCAAATCACCTTTTTGAGTATCTGCATTAATTGCAATATAAACATTAAATACTAAAATAATGCAACGAAAGTTCCAATGTAAGAGGGCTTCAAAGCTTTAGCATATTTATTAATCTGGCGTAATTTCAAAGAGCTTTAAGCTAATCAACTTGAAAGCTCATTCATTGTTTGTAAACATACGGCACAGTGAGCGCAATGTGTGTAGTATCAATAGAAACTCTCAGTATAGACAAAAATTTTTCATAGGAAACATCATGACAATGGCAGATGAACAAAAATTGCTAGACTTTCCTAGTTGGTTGGATGAGCATATGTTTATAGAATTGCTCCAACACGACTTTAAAGACTACAAAGCCATCAACAATTTCGAGGTGGTGCCAACAAGTGACGAGGGCGAAAACTTTACATGTTTGGTGGTGCGCGTGAAGATTATTGTGGAACTTAATGGTCAGTAGAAACTTTAAATAAATGTTTTATTACTATATATAAAACTTATAGATGAGAGCCAGACGGCAACCTCATATATAGCTAAATTGTTGCCCACCACTTCAAGCATACGAGATATGATTGCCAGCTGGAAGATCTTCAATAAGGAGAAGCTAACCTACAACAGCTATATACCTGAGTTCGAGCAAATGTTTATGAAAAAGAACAAATAGATATTATTTGGTCCCAAATACTACCAATCCAACGAAACCAGCCAGTGCCGAGTTGATCATTTTGGAGGATTTAGGAAATAGAAGTTTTAAGAATGTGAATCGCCAGAAGGGCTTCGATATGGCGCATACTAAAGCGGCCCTCGATAAATTGGCTCAATTTTTGCAGCATCTGCAGTTCGCTTCGAGTTGAAAGGCGCCTATCTGGAAATGTACGATCGAAATCTTTGCAGTGAAGAGGACAAGTTCCAAGAATTCCGTGAGACGCAGGCCAACTCTCTGATCAAGGCACTGCCACTCTACAACGCTGCTTATATGGAGAGCGAATTCGTAAGTTAACTTTAACTGAAATACCTGTACTTAGAGAACGATTATCATCTAACTGCATTATAGCAAACCTATACTTCCAAAGCACCGGATATGTTCCAGGCCCATGCGCCTAAGTTTGAGGATGAGTTCCGTTGCCTCAATCATGGCGACTTGCATTGCAATAACATCATGTTCCAATATGACGAACAGGGGAAAATTACAGAAACATACTTTATCGATCTGCAAATGAGTCGCTATTGCTCCCCTGCACAGGATTTGATCTACGTTTTGCTCTCTTCGGTTTCATTTGAGCTTAAGCTCTCCAAATTTGACTACTTCGTTTTTTACTATCACAGCAAACTAGTTGAATACCTTAAACTTTTGGATTATACCCAGCCAATGCCGACACTGACGGGACTGCACATTGCAATCTTAAAACATGGCGATTGGGGTGAGCAAACCTCCGAATTATTATTTAAATTGATATTTCAATTCAAATATTGTAGTTTACCCCGTTATATCCCTTCTGCTACCTCTTCTGCTCATCGATCCCAGCGAAAAGACAAATATGGATACAATGAGGGCGATCAACTGAGGACGACCATGTTTGGGCATCACAGTGTGGTACAGCAATACAAACAACTGCTGCCATGGTCTTACAATCGCGGCCTATTTGTGTACAAAACTGAAAATTACATGAGAGACAACTGTGATATCTAATTATAAATAAATCTACAAAGAAGAAGAAGAATATATTTATATTTTCAAAGAAAAAGTCTACTATTTTAAAATATGTTTTTGTAAATGACGAAAGGGGTGAAGTATCCGGTCTGAAATATATGCATATCTAAATCAGTTCGTATCTATGAATGATAAGTTTTCGAAAATTTCGTGGCTTACGAGATCGCAGTTTTCATATGGACAGATCAACTCGGCTGTCATTATAAGAATATAAACTTTCTAGGATCTGACACGCCTACTCCTAAACAAAACGAAGTCATTGTGATTCAACAAAGAACAATCCAAAGAAATAAGTGTGATTAGCCTTTATCAACAATTGTTGCCATCTGCCCGCTTCAAGAACGCAGTTTGGAATCAAGTTTACCTGATAAGGTGGCACAAGACCAAGCGATAACAAAAAATATTGTGTTCGTATTTTCGTATTCTTTTTCCTGATAAGGAATGGCACACGCCAACGAATTTTTTCAATATCTGTATTAACCCAAAAAGAACAGAGCTACAAACTATGTATATTATATTTGATTTACGACATACTATTGTATATGGATATAGAGTATATGCATAGGAGGCATGCAGTCTATAAAGTACTAAGTACTAATATCAGAGTCCAAAAGAATTTGGTATTTATGAATGAACTTGGAGCTTAGGAACTGCGGGAAATAGTACAGAAGATTTTACTTCTAGTACTTGTGCCTTAACTTGTAATCCGGCTATTCCGTTTTTTACATTTTTTACATTTTACATTTTCACAAAATCAATATGATCTGTAATCGTATTTTCAAAGTTTACAGCTGATAATGATGAAGGTATTATTTACGTAATACCGACTGAAGTAGCTTATTTAAGAGCTTTTTCGATAAG